ACCAAAGACCTTCCAAGGGCTTTTCTCGCTTGTAGCATATTCTCAAGCCACTCGCCTTATCTGTCCTAACAGCCCATACTAAAATTCCAATGGGGGCACCAGGAGGAGCCTCAGATGAATACCCAATCCCTTCATATTCGTAACCTGTTCTTCCGTACGGTTTCCATACCACATTCTGGTCCGCGCTTTCATTCAGGTTCTTATTATTTGCTCCAAGTATTCGGTCGCGATCAGCCTTCGTATATTCTCTTCTTTGCCTGGCACTCATTTTTGTCCAGGCCTCAGAGCTGATGGAGTTGGGTTTGTAGGATCTGGCATAAGGCCGTTCTATTCTGGGTTTGTCTTGCTCATAATCAAGCCCTACTCCCCTCATGCCCGTCTTTCTGTGAGCACCCTCAATCTGATCAGCAGCGGAATCTTCGCCCATATCAACATCCTTCTCCCAGAATATTGTGCAGCCAGTCCACTTCTTGATCATACTTTCTCGACCTGTCAGTCTATCATCAACGAGGGTCTCTGAGTTTCCATCCTTGAACGTCATATGAGTTTTCCGCGTATGATGAAGTTCGAGATCGCCCGGACCTCCCGTCCCGTATCTTTCGTTTCCAGGAACGCATAACTTTCGTCTTGGAAGAATATGATGCAAAATCCACTCCTTTGAGTCGTCCTCGTGTTCCCAGAAGTCGCCGTTGTCCATCATCTTATTATCATGCTCAATTTCTCTCTGAATATCGGCTCTCAACCTATCTCTATTATGGAAGACGGCATCCTCAAGCTCCCCTTCTCGTTCTCTGGCAATTTGCAAGCGCGCCAATTCATCAGCTCGTTTGGCAGTCATGATTCTAGTCTTTCTTTCGGCGACAGCCTGCATGGGAAACTGAAGTTCGCCATCCTTATCAAGTACAACTCTCTTCACCTGGTGAATGGTGGGGATCTTCCATCCATTGAACAAGTTCGACAGCTCAACCACAATATAATCTCCATTAGGAATCCCTCCCGGCTGTAATGAATAACCAAGGAAAAGTCCGGGTAACGTAGACGGTTCAAACTTCGCCCTTGCAGCAGCAGCGGGAAATATGCTCGATTCGATCCAGTCATCTTTATTATCAGGAAGCTCATGAGACCTTCGTTCCTCTCCGAACGGTTCTTCCTCGGATTGTTCCCCTGGCACAGCCTCCGATTCAATCGCAATCCTTTCAGAGCCAAACGTCTCTCCCAGATTGAACCCAAGCTGCTTGAGCATCACATAATGTTCCTCGCTTCCCCTCTTGCCAGCAGTAAGGGTGTAGGCAATTAAAAGAATTCTCTCGTCCAAATTCCCGCCTTCTTCCGAGGCGTGCCATCTCCTTGGATTGAAACTTATTACCTCTCCCATCGGTATTATGAAACCTTCAACCTTCTTCTCCGGGGCAACCTCAAGAGTCTGTATGATCGTTTCGTCTCGAACGACATCGTCAGGCATTCTCTCGACCCATATGCCCTTCATTTTCTTTGGATCACGAAGAGGAATGATCACATTATTAGTGGTTCCATCATTGAACTTGTCCTTATGAGGTCCCATTTTCACGCCGATGGATATCAGGACGGTTGTAAACGTGGTGTCAGGAGACATTCTTCTGACCAGAGAGCAGCATAAACTCGTAATGCCTGGGTAATTCTTCATCGTGCTCGTTATTCCGACCACTCCTCCATGGGCATAGAAACCCATTATGAAATATCCTTTTCCTTGCGCAACTTTAGTTCTTTTATTTGTTCTAATGACGCTGGCCTTTTCCGCGAATGCAGACAATATTCTCTTCGCCTCGTCAATATTGTAGTTTTCAACACTGACGATTTTGAGTGCCTCCACGTCAATATTATCGAGATCCTTGAGCTGTCGTGCCTTATCAAGTGTTCTACCTGCGTTTGATTTTTGGGTGCCCCCCATATTACCTGAGTTTGTCTCATCTATGGCAGGCGCTGCCCTGCTCGAATCATCCTCATCTTCTCTGAGAATATCCTCAATATCATCATCATCCCCCCGTTCGAGCTGGTCTGCGTCTGCTATATTCTTTTCACCTTTTCTTGGTTTTGGTGCAATAGGAAGAAAGTCAACAAGACACCCAAAAGGTATTAGCTTGACCTTATTCATGTCATTACCGTAGCGTTTCTGATATGCGGAGAGCCCATTGACTTCCATATTATTCTTGTGGAAACAGTAAGTCTGTACAGCATATGGCCACCATTTCGGCTCAAGACCAGCCTGCTTAAGGAGTGCTCGGGCTCCATTTATCACTTCTTTCACCTTCAATTCGGCAATACTATTAGTCCGTGGAACACCGGGAGTAGATTTAGCCCTACAAGTTCCGATTCTATCACAAGCCTTAGTGAATTCGCCGGCCTGGTCCGCATATAAATTGATGATCGCGCCAGGTCCCCGAAACTCATTGATGGCCCTGACAGTCTCGTCGGTATTACGTGCGTGCACCGGAGAACAATGTATCCATCCTGTCTTGAAGTCGAACATGACTATTGCATTATTCTCCCCACCAATGCCTTTGTCTTTATTATTTCTGAGTACTATTGTGTCCGCGGTGACTTTTTCGCCAAATTTCTCTGTTTCACGTTCAGTGATGCCATCCCCTTTCTTATATGGAACGTTATTAACTTTAGCCTGCCTGCAAGCTATGCAGTGCATGTTCTTCGGCATGTGAGTAAGTAGATGATCAAGAGTGATAGCATAATCGGGAGAATATCTGGCTATCTTGGCCACAACTTTGTGACGCGGATCTCCTTCTGCTTCACGATACACGCCCTCCTCGTGTTGGATCTCCATTTCCAGAACATCTGCGATGCCTCCCACGTGTTCAGCTTCTTCCTCGGGAGCAATATTCTCTCTAACTTCTTCCCCCTGTTCCACTGCCTCTCCCTGAATATGATCTTCATCGGCCACCTCTTCCCCGTTTTCAGCAGGCAAGGCATCTCTGGTATTATCTTTTGCACCTATGCTCTCATTTTGTCGCATAGCAATCGACTGTGTCACCGGATATTCTAAGATTTCCTGAGGTGATAATCTTCGCTCACACCTCGCGCATATTCCTGACGGATCAGCCCCACACGCAGCGCACTGCGTCGTAGGAGCATTATCGGCTTTACCCTTATTCTTAATCCATGTCTCCAATATCATACTACCTATTATTTCAATCATTCCATCAGCCCATCTTGCCCATTTAGCGGAATTATTATCGTCTTCACTCGAGCTATCTGAGTTGGTCCCAAAACCTCTGAGATCTGTAGCCCATCCTGGCCATTGAAATGTGATAGCAACGCTAGTAGGCTTCTTCTTCACATGCCCCATAGGCCCTTGATCGAAACTGACCATATTAAGTCCAAGCACTCCTTTCATTCTGATCCACTCCGGCGTAGCCCAGAAAGATGCATAACCATGCTCAGGTTCATTATCTTGCGCGATATTCATGAACGTTTCAGGATCCTGAGGTTGCTCGAAGAGAGCATGCGCAGCATTATTCTCGGCCTCGCATACGCACTGACTAATGGCCACAAGAATGATATTACGCAAGATTAATATGTCATCATCAGCGCATTCCGCCTTATGATTTGCCTGAATATGATCAAAGCACCACCTGTGTGGGCCTATTCTACTTCTCAGAGGTATTGGATCGGGGGACCTATATCGTAGAGCTGATCTTGTTCTACATGGTGGCCCTGATAGCCATAGCTTAGCTTTCCCGCTAGCCGCAAGTTTAAGCATCAAGTACCATGTATCCTCGGCCAACATATTTTCTTGAAGGTCGATTTCAACCATCCTCATACAGACCTTTTGTTTTCTTTGGTCTTTTTTATATATTTTTTTTTTAATTTTATATTTTTTTCTAGGTTATATTCTTTGTTATGTTAACGGCACTGTGCCTCTTTTTAGGGAAATGCCTATTTGGTTCTACGTCATGCACTATGGGGTTGGGATCCGGGTCTTCTACCGTCCATGACCACGATGATGCTCACTTTGCGTTGGCACTTGTTTAGTACTTCCGAGCTGCTTTTGTACAAGCACGGCCTCGTGACTGGTGTCACTAGGCAGAGCCAGGCACAGCAAGCTTCAAGAAGCTACTGCATAAGTGCCGAGGCTTGAGGGCAGAACGGCGCAGTACACCCCAAACCATTTGTTGGGATGTTCGGCATTCATCTGTGCCGCACTCTGGCAATACAAGGAAAACAAGGCCTTCCGTGTGGGCTCACTACGCGAGCATAGGCTACGTTGTTCTTGAGTATGCAGCGCTTCATGCTGTAACATGGTACACTTCTTCGCGGCGTCGACAGCTACTCTTGAGAAAAGAGTTGAATGTGGTGCTGCTGCTGCCCAAATCCACAGTATGGGCACAGCAACCCAAGCAACAGGTCAGGAAAGGTCTCTTGTTGACCTGCTCCCGAGCAGCAAAGTGGGCACCATCATTCTCAGAGCCTTTTGGCTGATACCCTCTGGAAGACCTTAGTATCCGCATTTTCCGGGAGCAATAAGGATGAGAGTATCTGGGGGTATGTTAACGGTACTGTGACCCTTTTTAGGGACATGCCTATTTGGGTCCTACGTCATGCACTATAGGGTTGGGATCCGGGTCTTCTACCGTCCATGACCACGATGATGCTGTTGATTTATGTGGAGCTTGGAGCAGCTTGGGTGAGGTGCTCACTTTGCGTTGGCACTTGTTTAGTACTTCCGAGCTGCTTTTGTACAAGCTAGGCAGAGCCAGCCACAGCAAGCTTCAAGAAGCTACTGCATAAGTGCCGAAGCTTGAGCGCTTCAAGGGCAACCGGCAAGGGAAGCCGCGAATCTGACCCTGACCATCAACAGCTCAGGTTAAAACGAAGGCAAAACGTCCGGAAGCAGTTCCGGATCAGGATTCGGGTTGGAGGCAGCACCTAACCCTAAACCCTAAACCCTAAACCATAAACCCTAAACCCTAAACCCCAAACCCCAAACCCCAACCCCCAAACCCTAAGCCCTAGATGCTGCCTTCCTGGGTGGCATCTTGTGAACTCCGCTTCTTGTGCCTCTCAAGCGCTTGCAGGGCTCAGGGCGGAGCTCTTTGGGATTGCAGGGCAAAGGAGCCCTAAACCTTAAACCCTAAACCCTAAACCCTAAACCCTAAACCCTAAACCCTAAACCCTAAACCCTAAACCCTAACAGCTCCAAGGGTGCACAGGGCTGAGGCTCAGGGGTTAGGGCTTAGGGCTTCAGGCTCAGGGCTCAGCTTGGGGCTTAGGGCTTCAGGCTCAGGGCCTAGGGCTTAGGGCTAGGGTTTAGGGGTAGGGTTTAGGGAGTGGGTATTCATAGCAAGGTTTGCAGGGAAACAGGTTTCAGATTTGTTCAGGTTCGAGGCTGGGCAAGATCGTTTATCGTTGGCTGGCTTAGGGTTTAGGGTTCAGGGTTCAGGGTTTAGGGTTTCGGGTTTCGGGTTTCGACTGTAGGTGTTGGGATTGGCTGGGAATTGCCACCAGTACCTCTACCACTACTTGCCGTTGCTGCTGCGATAGCGACAGCGACCACGATGACGTTGGCGACTGTTATGACGGTGCAGCCGCTGGTTTCCCCTCCTCCTCGTACAACTACTACCCACCTTCTACCCCCATAATCAACCCTGTGGCCCTCTTTTAGGGGTTAGAGGGCATAATCGCCCCCCTACCACCCTCTCCCCGCCTACCCCCCTACCCCTCCCCCCTGTCGCTCCCCCCTCTGTCCCTTTGCGCGGAGACGTACGGGCCTGGAGCGTATCAACTTCAGAACCTCCGGCATCGAGAAGAGGAGGAACCTAAGAAGCTTTATGGTTTAGGGTTTAGGGTTCAGAGAAATTGTATAGGGCAAACGCTTTTGGGCATCTCCCAGGCGGGATCTTGGGGGTTTAAGTCGTTGGGCTTTTTGAAGTTTTTCAGAGTCTCCCGGAGCCTTTCGGGGCAACTTTTGGTCTTTTTCTCCTTTGGATAACCCTAAACCCTAAACCCTAAACCCTAAACCCTAAACCCTTTTTGGGGCCTCCTAGGGCTTTGGGGGGCCTTTCGGGTGGAGGCCTCAAAACGCCTTCCGCCCGGGAGCACCAGAGGGCCGGGAACCCCATTGGCCTGACCCTTGGGAGGTCTTTGGAACTCTAAAAGCTACACAGTCCCTAATCCCTAAAACCCTATAAACTATAAACCCTGAACCCTGAACCCTGAACCCTGAACCCTAAACCCTAAACCCTAAACCCTAAACCCGAAACCCGAAACCCGAAACCCTAATCAATGAAAGGGCCCTCTCGCCCAAATGTCACCGCGCAACGCTAAGGGGTGGGGATGCTTCGCCTTTTGGCCCAAAGTGACCCCGCCCGGCTACCCCAGCAGAGGTGCGTTCGAGATTTAGGGTTTAGGGTTTAGGGTTTAGGGTTGAGGGTTTAGGGTTTAGGGTTTTGGGTTGCAGGCGCGAGCCTCCCGCCAAGGGTTTAGGGGTCAGGCGCCCTGCTTCTACTGCGACGATCGTGCGATTCCTTCGGCAAGGCCAGGGCACGCTGGCAGGCACCAGGTGACAAACATCAGAATGGCTCGAGCCGTCCTCGGAATTGAGCTTTCCATGTCAGACGATTTGCGGACCACAATGTTGCTGGTTCTGCTTTCTCTTAGAATGATGCCCAGGGAAGCACGAACAATTACCATGCAACTATTCTTGCATTTGGAAGCGAGTGCTGGATTCTCAAAACCACTTCTCGTTCAACGGGCACTCATTCAAGCAGTTCCATGTAATTTCCCAAGATAAGCCTCTCGGAATCCCGGCGGGACACAAACCTGAAACAAAAAAAGTGATGATTCCCTTGACAATCCTGTATCTAGATCCACTTCGACTGAAATCTGCTATCGTTCACAGTGTATGCTGGTCACTGTACCTTGCCTCGCCAAGAACCAAGGGGAAGAAAGTGAAACTTTAATATTCCTACTAAATAAGGAAACCCAAAAAGTCTAAAGTTCAACTAAAGGCGAAGGAAGGTACTGCATGCATGCGCAGTAGAGCAAGAAATGAACAATGTAGCGTAGCTAGTAGGAAGTACCTCAAGCACACCCATGGTCTCCAACAAAAAATGGGAGGCCGAGACGCATGCTGATGTCCAGGTCGTTCAATGGGCTGTTATGCTTGTCATTGAAGAACCGCGTGGTGTGGAGGAAGAGGTAGAAGCAGAAGTTCAGCAAGGACACAATCATGACGTTCAGGAGCACATCGCAGATCAAGTAGCGACGCGGCGCACAGAAGCACTGGGTGAGGTAGAGAGCCTCTCTGGCAAAACAGATTAGAGCTCTAAGAGCCCTGCGTTGTCCGTTTTAACACCTTGCAGCAAGCCCATCTTAGGCCCACAGAAGCTCTAATATCACATCGTTTGAACTTGAAGAGTCCGCGTTTGTCTGAGCCCGAGGCCAGTTTGGATATGCTGGGCATAGTCCCGAGCCAGATCCCCAAGAGCTGGAAAAACCAGAACACAGACCAGTAGTCTTTCTCATACCGGGCGATGTACCCTCAGCTCATCGAGGTTTCCAGAAGGAACAGGTTGTCGTTTGGGTTTTCAGGCTTTGTACTCACTGTTGGCTAGCAGGGCATGTTGAACTTATTGTTCCACATTTCACTCCCTACTAACCAACAGTAGTGGTAAGACTAAAGGAAAGCCGACTTGCCTGGTTCTGCTGCGCCCACGCTCAGGTCCATCGCAAGCCAGGCAGCAGGGCAAAAGATCACGAGGAAGTAGCCTCGACCGGTTTGGGATAAGGGTTGACGTGGCACCTTTAAGCCCTCTGAGAAATATTTTTAAGATTACCCGAAGACCAATTAGTACCATGAGAAACCTTGGAATAGAAAGAGTTTTTGGCTTAACGGGGATATTTTTTGCTAAGCCCTAACAAAAGTGAATAAGGGCCTACTCTGGGCCCTGGATGAGGGAGATCATGATATGCTCAAGGGTCTGCCTGGCAGCTGTAGGGAAACTGGTGTTGTCCAAGCTGGTTCTCGAAAGTGGAGCGCAGGAGAGGTGCGATGAACTCCTCAAACTTCTGCACGCTTCCGAACCAGTTGCAAATACATCCCTCCACAATCTCACGGTCACAAGGCATCCGGGAGCCATCCTCTGAAATGTGTCCTCTTGTGCAGCAGTGGCACTTCGTATCCTGAAGCCGGAAGTTGAGCAACTGGTGATAAAAGGTCTGAATGGAGCGGTAGTAGGAGCGAAAGGTCGCGACGCCCCAGTAGAAGGCCAAGAAGAAGGCCGCAAACATCGCGCAGATGTTGAAGTCCACCCCAAAGAGCAAGTCATCATCAAAGTCATGGACGAAGATCCACAGCAGCATCATGCTGGGAGTTCCTCGGTAGCCCAGCAACCACCTTAATTACAATAAGGAGGCACCCTTCTTTTGGGTTGGTTACCTTATTAAGGAAACCTTGAGCCAAAAAGGGAAAAGGGTTTAGGGGTGTAGCTGGCCAGGTAGGGTTTAGGGTTTAGGGTTTAGGGTTTAGGGTTTAGGGTTTAGGGTTTAGGGTTTAGGGTTTAGGGTTTAGGGTTTAGGGTTTAGGGTTTAGGGTTTAGGGTTTAGGCGACCAAGGTTCCCACGTAGGTCGCCAAGGCCGTAGGGCCCAGGAGCGTTGGGCGCACCACGGTGCGCGGCCGAGCGCCGCAGCCGTGCAAGAATGCGGCAATCTCGAAGACGCACCAGGTCCTGTGTCGGCTACGGCCTCTACAACGGTTTAGGGTTTAGGGTTTAGGGGTCTAGGGTTTAGGGTCTCTAGGGCAGCCCTGAATCGTTTAGGGGTGCAAGGGGTGTCAGGCAACTGCGGGATGTAGGGATTTAGGGTCTATAGGGTTCAGCCTGACATCGCAGACCCGAGTCGTGCAGTTGTACCTTGCACGCGGTCGTTTAGGGTTTAGGGTTTAGGGTTTAGGGTTTAGGGTTTAGGGTTTAGGGTTTAGGGTTTAGGGTTTAGGGGTCCTCTCGATGTAGCTCGGGTCCCAGAGAATGAACAACGACTTGGATCGCTTCAAGATGCCTCCTTGGCAGCCCAGCAACCATTGATAGAATCAAGGGTGCGCCCTTTTCTTAGGGTTGGTTCCTTCATAAGGGAACCTGCTTGAGACCTAAGCCCTAAGCCCTAACCCCTAAACCCTAAACTCTAAACCCTAAACCCTAGCCCTAAACCCTAAACCCTAAACCCTAAACAAACCCTAACCCTAAACCCTAAACCCTAAACCCTAAAACAAAAAGGCGAAAGGGTACCACTGGGCGACGAAGCCTCCGAGGCTGACGATCCCTT